TAAGTGAAATGCACTATGAATAATACCGCATGTGTTCTTTTGAAAAAAAAATATATATTGGAAGTTGTGGTTCGCACTACACTGTGTATATACATATATCCGTTTAACGTATGTTCCTCAGAAAGTTTGAATCTCATAGTTGGTCTCTGATTGTTGCCGTCAATCGTGTCTAAGTTGGGGAGGAAAAGATTTTATGATTTTAGTGCATTGTGTGTGCGATTTTTATTCCTTTTCATAATTAGGCATATTTGCATATGATTTCCTTTTTGAACATGATCCGAGTATTTGGAAGGACATTATTAAGGGTGAAATCTGATTTCTTTCCAAAATTTCGAAATAATGAGAACCGTTATTTGTGTGAATGGTTTTGGTTTGTTTGATCTTTGGATTATTGGAGGGATTAGTTTCACTAATTATTTTTGAATTTTCCCTCTCTCTCTCTCTCTCTCCTAAAACCGCCTCCATTACCACCTTGATTTTCGGAACCTACCTTTTTGCGGTTTTCTATGATCCAACGTCTCTCAACTGATCATAACCCACGTTTCCTTTTATTTTATTCCATTTTATTGGTTCCCTCTTTTCTCTCTCTCTCTCCTTTGCTCACCCACACCGATTGAAACCTTAGATTCCCCTCTCTCAATCCTCATTCTTCTCCCATGGCTGGCGGCAAAGAAAAATCCAAGAGACGACTCCAGAAGCAGAAAGAAAGCGACTCAAGCGCCGGCGTCTTTCCTTGTCCACTGGGTCTGCTCGTGAACCTTCACCACCGGCGAAAGAACCAACTCCTGAATCTTCGCCCTCGTCTAAATCGGGGTCCCTGGCCTCTTCCCCGTCTGGTTCTCAGTCGAAGTCTGACAATGTCCGCAAGAATCTTGACATCTCACCACTGGCCACTGGAGTTCCAGGACTTTCTGGACTTGCTGAATCACTAGCCGTTCCAACTCAGGGGGAGTCATCTGCTGTTCCAACTTCTGCAACTAAGTCGGTCACCAAAACGACTACTACCGAAGGCGAAAAAGATAATACGGCGGCTACCACCGTTGAAGTTCATTCTGACCAGCCATCGCCACCTTCGAAGGTTCCAGTTCGTCGTTCCACCCGCCGTCGTGGGAAGGCCATCGACGAGCCCCTTGTTCCTCCTGAACCTGAAGACGATGCATATGACCTTGAGAATACTTTCACCAATCGGTTCTATACAGAAGCGGCTCACGAACGCTTCGTTAATTTCGGATCTTATGAGTTCTGGTCGGAACATCCTGTGACTGATGGTAAGTTTGTTGAACTTGGTGTTCTTCGTCTGATTGAGCAAATGGGTCTTTCTAAGACCGTGTCTGATGTTAAGCCCTTTTGTGGCCAAGCTGTCAAAGAATTCTATGCTAATCTCACTCCTGCTGTTTTTGACTCTGATAGCCCTCGTTTTCATAAACTTTTTCTTCGCAACCGTGTGATTGATGTGTCTCCTGCTTTGTTCAATGCCCATCTTGGTTTGCCCTCTGATCTTGATAGCTCTTCTTTTTCTGATGTTGATTTGGATGAAATGACCAAAGTTCTTACTTCTGGTCAGTTGGATATTTGGCCTGGTTCTAATCTTTCTGTGAATTCTCTTTGCTTAGTTGCCAATTTATTGCATAAAATTGGCGCTGGCAACTGGACCCCCACTTCGAATAAAACCCTGCTTACCGAGCTGCAATGCAAAGTTATCTATTAGGTCATGATTGGGAAGGTTTTCAGCTTTGGGGATCTTTTCTTTCATATCCTTCAATCCTTTGTAGCTAACATTGAGTCTCGCAAAACCCTTCCCTTCCCTTGTCTCATTTGGTCCTTCTTGTCTGCTCACAACTTTTCCGTTAATCTTCGCTTCCAAGATTCTCTTGAGAATCCCCGGAAAGCACTCTCTGTAAGTGCTCGCACTCTGAATGAAAAGGAGATTGCCAAGGTTTCAAAGGAACTAGCTCCTTCCTTGGTCCCTAAAAATTGGGGTGAGTTCGTGGCTCAACAACTTGGAGAATGGGATGATTTGGCCAAGAGGGTTGCTGCTCAACAGGGTTATCTTCGCCAAGTTCTGCAGGCTGTCAAGGGATCGAATCGTAACTCGGGAACAGGCCCTTCGGCATCCCGTAGTTCGAAAAAGGGGGAGAAGGTTTCTGCTGCTAGTAAGAGCAATGAGAAAGATGATGAAGAGTCTGATGATGCCACTGAGAAGCTTGGAGATGAGGAGTAGTTAGTTTATGTCTCATTTGTTTCTTTGTTTGTTTTGAGGGATGTAGGGAGGTCTTTATGTACTTTGGTTAATTTGTTTTTCTGCTGGTTGCCACTATAAGTTGTTTTGTTGTTTTTGCTGACTTTGATATCTACTTATTTTGGTTGAATCGAATTTGGAATCATGAGTTTTGATGACTGCAGGAACTAAGGGGGAGAACTTGTGATGTATTGATGATCTAATCTTTGATTGATTTTATCTGTTGGTGCTTGTTGTTTTTATTGCTGTAGGAGACCTTCAAGTCTGATATTTTCGAACTAGATGCCAAAGGGGGAGATTGAAAGATATTTTATTTTGGCATTAGTTCGTTAGTTCGAACAAGCACCTGGAACCACAGAATAAAAGGGAAGATCTTTACATATTATATTTCCTTAAGTAAAATTATTTTATATTCCTTATATAAGACCGTGTAGATCTTATTACGGTTTTGTTATGATAGGAAATTGCACATAAAGAGATAAAGAAGAGGCAGGAAAGAGATACGCTTGGAGAGGAGATCAATGAGAGAGAAGAAAAGATTTCTTGCCAAAGATATGCTATTATCTTGGAAGGAAATCTTGAATGAAGTCCTATGCCTTGTGGAAGACTCCAACCCTAAGGAGTTCATATATATACCCTAGAAGAAGCTTTTGCGGCGGGCGGATTTTTGGAGATAGAAATTTTTCAGAGCAATTCAAGCTTCGTTTCGTTTTGTTCTAATTTAATTGTATTCAGTTCAGTTTAAGAGTTCTTACAAACTCAAGAACTGAAACTGCTTTTGTTGAGTTCTTTATACATCTCATCGAAACTATTTTACGGCATATACACTTAGGGAGTAAGTGTAGGTTTATAAGTCCACGGGACGTGGCCGGAGAATTAGTTGATAGGATCAAGTAGTGTTGGCTAGATTTGAAGGGAGTTCAAGTCCTTGTAAGTCCAAAATATGTTTATGAGTGATCTATCAATGAAAGAGCTCTGAGGGGAAGTGGGACGCTTCCCTGAAGAGTTTATTAATCTTCGGTTGTTTGCTTCCGCATTTTACAATTCTTATTTTAGTTTGTACTACAATTAGCGCACTCCGTGACAAAGCTTTGAAGCGGTTCAAGCATTATTTCAGGCACTCATGGGAGTAGTCCACCCGAAAAACAACCATAAACCATTCAAAGGCAAGACTGTTGTGTTTGGTGGAGACTTTGGACAAATCCTACATATTGTTCCGAAGAGGAGTCGTCAAGAGATTGTTAATGTTGCAGTTAATACTTCTATCATTTGGAGAGAGTGTAATGTTCTTAGGCTTACAAATAAAATGCGGCTTCGAAATATTGGCGATTCGGATGGACATGACGAGCTAGCTGCGTTTGTTGATTGGATAGCGAGCATCGAAGATAAAACCATAGGGGTGGTCAAATGATGGTTGTGCTACGAGTGACATACCATATGATCTATTACTAGAACCATCTGCTGATCCAATTGTAAAAATTGTTGAAAGTACGTTTCTAATGTTCAAGAATGCAACTGATGACCAAGTTACATAAAGGACAGTGCTATACTTGCACTGACGTTGGAGATGGTAGAATCTATCAATGCATACATGTCTTTGTCGAATTTGAATGTAGGTCGTATGTATTTAAGCTCTGATAGTACGTGTAAATCCGACTCTAGTACAGACTTTCTATCAGAGCTCCATACGCATGTGTTTTTTAATACTATTAAGTATTCTGGAACAACGAACCATGAGTTGCATTTGAAGATAGGAACTCCAGTACTCAATTGGATTGTGCAATGGGACATGCTTGGTTGTGGCCAAGCTCTCCAATCATGTTCTCGAGTATAAAATTCTTGCTAGCGACCATGCATGTGATAAGGCGTTGATACGTCGGATAATGATTACTCCTTCTGATGTTAGAGTACCATTTAAATTCTAATGAAGACAGTTCCCCATTATGGTCTCCTACGCAATGACCATACAAAAGAGTCAAGACCAATCTTTATCGCATGTTGGCTTATTCTTGAAGAGACCTGTTTTTAGTCATGGATAGTTATATGTCGTTGTCTCTCGCATTACTAACTAAAAGGATTTAAAAATATTAATTTGTGGAAAAGGAAAGTATTTAATAATGCATGATTTTTCATACTTTGTAGTTATCTTCTTGCCATAGTCAAATGATTAATTTTCTTGGAAAAATAAACAAAGTTTTCAAAAAAGTTTTGAGGATGAAGCCCCACCACCGTGCGACGCACGTTGCTCTTTAGTTCTTTATTACAACAACAACAACATAGCTTTTAGTCCCAAGCAAGTTGGGGTAGGCTAGAGATGAAACCCAAGAGAACCAATGGTAGGAAAAACACAAAAAGGGCTGACTGGAACAAAAGAGAAATGAGCAAAAGTCACGGTTCTGGCACGTTGATTGTTAGCCTCCAAGCGCTCCTATCCACCGCTAAATTTTTGGAGATATTCCAATCTTTAAGGTCTCTCTTAACCGATTCTTCTCAAGTGAGTTTAGGCCGACCTCTACCTCTCTTTACATCATCGATCCGCTGAAGAACTCCCCTAGTTCTTTATTACAACATGGATCCTAAAATTATAATTAGAACACGTTCTAAAATGTCATACGTGGATTATGGCTTTGACTATGTTACACTCGATCCTACCCCATGAGTAGTAACCCAATGGGTTTTTTAACCGGGCATTACCCATGGGATAGGATGGAATCAAGACCATATAGTTGGATGACCTAAACGTTTTACCAGAGGACTATTTAATTTTTAAATAACCTGCCATGTTAATTTTATTTTCGATAATGTCTAGTGTTTGAGGTAAATAAATAATATATTACAATGCTTCACAACTTCAGCCAACAGAAAACACGACCTCTGATTTTGGCAGCAAACGCAAATATCAACAGAAAAAAATACAATACATTTGCAATGTCTTTAGGCCAATACACCTAATGCACCAGGAGTACATATAGCTAAGGCATACTCAACCGTGCAGTTTAGAAAATTCACCTTCCAAAAAAGCTCAAAAACACGTAATTACTACACAAAACCAAACCTTTCAAAAGATGTTCGTCCAAAGCGTACACATAATACCTACTATCATTGGACGGTGATAAAAGGTGTCGAGATCAGATCATATCAATTGAGGAGCCATCTCAGGTGAAAAGCCACCACTAATTTTCTTTGTGACTTGTGATTTTGGAGTCGTTGTAGGCACCAACTTGTTTTCAAGAGAACTAAACGGCTGGCGATTAATAGGCCAATGGCTCGACTTTACAGGACGTAAACTAGCTTGATAACCGCCAATCAATTGGTTGTTACAACCTGGAAGCTGGCTTGTTTGTATAGTGGCTTCTTTTTCATTAGGCACTGGTGAACTGGATGGGTCCTGTTTTGTTACACCATACAAAAATGTGAGTTAAAAGTCAAAGGCATTCACGTTCATCCAGTAGCAACTGAGAATGACCAACTATGAAAACAAGATAAGATGTTGGAAATGTAAAAGGACAACAAACTTTCTACTGAACTGGTATGCTCAAGATAACCCCCTTTTACTCGGTCAACCGAGTTAACTTCTAACAATTCTAATCCATGAAATACATATATAGTCCATCTTAAAGCTAATACTAGTGAAAGCTACATGCTATCATAATATTTGGATACAAAAGGACATGTGTATGGGAAGAAAAGTAAAAAGAAACAAGAATACCACCACTTCAATATTGGGTATTTCAGTAAAATACGGAAAGAAAAGTAAAAAGTAACAAGAATACCAGCTAAGCTATCCAATCACAAAAACAAACTGCTGACATTTTCTAGAAACCTCTCACATTTATTAGTTACCCCATAACACATTAAGGTTTCTTTACTTTGATTGAACATCTTAGTTTCCGTATATCCTGAACTTATGCAGACTAATTGTCCGAAAACCTGGCATCATTTTCCAACATTTTGATCAGCAAGCAAAGCGCATCAATTAAATGAAATGCATCCCTAAATGCTAAGTTCATGATGACTGGTACCAAACAATATGCAACAGCAGCAAGAACAACATACCTCAAGAACAAGAAAAGAGAAAGCTTCCCCACTGAGATGAATCTCGATCAACTTTCTCAAATCAGTAAGACTCGAATCCTTTGAAACCTTCAGAGTTGTGATTAGCTTCCCTGGATTCTCCTTAGATGCCTCCCATTTCACATAAACGTCAACACCATCATCATCATCCAAAGGATTTCTATCTCCTGGAGCACAATCATTAACATTACTAGTGCTACTATTTTGCTGAGAGATCTCTCGATAATTCCCACAGAGAGTGAAAATATTCTGATTCCTTAGTTGACGGGAACTGTTCGCATCGTCATAACTTTCGAACTCGTCATTCGAGAATGAAGCTTCTGGTGTGACTACCATTCTTTTCTCCTCGATAACCTCTTTCTGCACCTCATCGTCATTCTCATTTTCATACTCATCCTCCTCGTACACAGTTGTCAGGCATGCCTTGCTGGGCAAGAAACCATGCATTCCTTCATTAATGCTGTTGTTAATGCATCCCAAAACAACAGTGTTAGTAGTATTCTCCATGTCGATTGATTTGGAAAGGTCCATCGACTTCACCATATCCGAGTCCTCATTACAGGCTTCCAGCAGCCTTTTCATGAAATTCCCGCTGCCAATTTCTACTGATGATTGGCAAAGGAGCTCTTTCTCGATATCCTCCAAACGCTGCCTTAGAAATTCGACCTCCCTCTTCTGTTGAGACATTTTCTCCTCCATCTTTCTCCTCTCCATCTCTAGAACCTCATTGGCCATATTCTGGCACTCAATTATTTTCCTCTCGAGTTCATTTTTCAGCAGTCGAGTACGCTCATGGACTTTCAAGTTGATCTCCTCCTCTCTTACTTGGCCCACCCCTGAGATAAGTTTTGCTCTCAGCCGAGAAATTTCCTCCTCTTTGCGTTTCAGATCTTTCTTTACCTCATTCTTCTCTTTTTCCTTTATTTTATTCTCAACCTGTAGCTTGCAGATGAACTGGTCAAGTGCCGCTAGTCTTGACCCTAAAATCTTAGCAGATGAAGAATCTTCGGCTGCTCTATCCTTAACAGGCGTATGAGGACTTCGGACTATGCACTTGGCCTTTGCGCCGTATTCTAAGGTGGCAATGGTTTTGTGTAGTTCCTTTGGGTCGGGACTCGTGCACAGTATCATCAAGATTTTGGACTTATCGTCCTCAAAGGAAT